TTTTCTGAGAAAGCAAGAAAAATAGACCCACTCAGTTCTCCTGAATTTCTTTTGTTTGTCTGCTTTGACTGGAATTCAGACGAATGCGGGTGCATGTGTTTCAACCTGCCTCAGTGAGCAGCATTGTTGGCAAGGAGAGACTCTTATAGTCATTGGTAAAGGAACCCAGGAGAACCTGCAATGGGCTCCCACTATGGGCTATATTTAAGGTTTTAGACAGGAGTTCAGTCTTTGTGCATTCTGATATGAATTGCCTTATTCTGTACCCCTTTTGGTAACGTGTGGGTCAGAATTTCACCATCTATCAGCCTTTGCTATTCACCAGACATTGAATGCTTTTAAAACATGTGTCTTGTATATGTATCTACCCAAATATATTGAATTTGGGGTGAGGAAGGAAATGTGAACATGGCATGGACCAGAACAAGACAGATTTCTCAGTTTCTAGTTTTAAGAACCATTTAAGCTTCTCCAGAAGAAAACCCTGTCCTGAATGGTGCTATATATAATTTAGTAATACATTAAAATCAATATTTTAATACATCCATGCCCCTCCATCATTTCATTGGACGGAAAATGGCGCTTGTTGTGGATGGAGAGGTGTGACCATTTTGTGTGATGCAAGAAAGGAGTCAGAGGCGTGCTCTTCGGCCCCTCTTTTTCAAATGGTCCCCCAAAAGCCAAACCAGGGAGTCAAACCAAAGCCAAACCCCAAGCGGTGGCAGAACTGAACTGCAACAGAACCCAAACCTTTACCTGAAATTGTCCATGGAATCTGAATAGCAACACGTGGCTCCAACCCATTATCTCAAAATTAACTAATTGCAGCATTGTTCCATTTATTTACTAAGCCCTTCTCTTTCCTTCCCCTGTAAAATGTATGTGGCAGCTTCGTCTCTGATGGCAATATTAAACAGCGGAATAAGAAGCGTTCGTCGGGTAAGTGGCTGGAATTGCTTTGCTTGTTTTATGCTCTTCTTAGAGGAAACACTATTGCAAATGGTTCTGTTGCACCCACCTACATCTTCAAATATACCTGTGGAAACTGGGAAGACCAACGGTGACACAGTGGCCACCCCCCTAGAAAAGACCTATGGGCAGGGTGTCGAGTCTGGCCGCGTTGGGCACCTGCAGAAAACCCAGAGCCAAGCAGGGCCCACTCAGATGTGTGCCTCCTCTCCCCATGGCCACCAGTGGCCTCATCCTCTGACCCAGTCAATGGTGGGGCAGAGCACCTGGTGCCACAGAGCTCCTCATCACGCAGAGTCAGCGCTGCCTGGGACATTGTTCTGGAACTGCTATGCTTGCATTCATCAAATGCCCAACTGGCAAATGCCCTCGGTTTGTAGCCATGAAAAAACAAAACAATGCAACAGCAGAATAATAACCCAAAGTAACCAGGGCTTTTTTTTTGTCATAGAACGCACCTGAACAGCATTCCGGCACCTTTTTTTCAATGGATTTTACCAAGTGATTTTGAAAGGCAGCAGATTAGCAGATCAGCAGCAAACATCATTAACATAGTGCCTGCAGGCTGCTATTGCGTCTGCTATCTGCTATCTGATAGTGAGCGATAGCTGCTTGGGACGCTGCTTGGCTTGGGATTGGTGAGTGTGCTTACCGCCCAGCAGGGAGTTCCGGCACCTTTTTTTTTTTTTACAAAAAAAGCACTGAAAGTAACAATCACATAACAATAGCAGTGAAGCACATTAAGCATGGAAGAGCAATCAATTAATAACCAAGGCAGCAGATTGAAGATTTCAGCTCGGCCATATCCAGGCATAAGGGGTTTTTGGCGATTCTGCTGGGAGTCTTTCCGAGTCTGCTGAAACTGCAAAGTTGTTGCCCCCGCAAGCGCAGCTGATTGCTGGGACCATTTTCTGTAGCTCAAAGGGCCACTCCTCTTAATTAACAGTGACGCAAGAGGCGCTGAGGGGCATGTAGGACACGAAGGCAAAACAAGGCGACCACGGGCAGTTTTGACACTCTGCAAACTTTCCCCAGGAATCCATGCTCATACTTGAGTGTGGGGCATTTAATGGTAACATGCTCACTTCTTTTGTGAGCAAAAATTACATGCCCCAAACCCCCAATGTATATATATGCACCGCACTTGTGCACAGAATGCTCAAAAACTGGCCAAGAAAACCAACAGATCATGAGAAAATGGAGCAGAGCTAACCAGAAGGAAGGAGTCAAGAAGCCAAAAAGAAAAAAAGGGCAAAAAAAATTCCAACCACTGCAGAAATGCAAAGCCACTGAAATCCTTTGGAAGAAGTTCTGGCACAATGATGCAAAGCTTTAATGACTGCAGGAGCCGTAGGTCATAATAAAGACAATGCTACAAGCATGGCTCATACACCATTCTTAACTAGACAAAGAACACATGTTCAGATGCAGTTAGTCAGCAATCCATCCCAGCCTCAGGGCAGGCTTTGAATGTATCATTCTTATAAAACTTTGCCTGGGCCACTTCTGTTGCTAAATCAATTTCCCCTTCTGTAGCCAGTGGAATGATCTGCACGGAGCAATTAAGAAATACTGGATTCATCACTTTCCCCTGCCTTTCTCAGTGTAACGAAGGATGTGATTTTTGTTCTGTTTCTTTTCTCTGAACACTGGAGGGGAGGAAAAACCCCTGGCTATTACACCCCTGTTTCATATTCATGAACTCAACTATAACATTTATTGATTTAATAACGTTTCAATTTCACTATATTGGCCTGAGGGCCTTCTGAGCGGAATCTAAAAAACCTATTAGCGTTGATTCCACTGAAGTAACTCAAGGCACATGGAACTGTCCCCAGAGGGCCCGGCTGCCTCACCCAAGGCTACGAAGGAGTCCTCAGTCACAATTGCTGTCCTCACACAATAGCATTTGCACACTTGCACTCAGAAGCACACACTTGTGTGCAGGGAAGGATAAAAGTGCCACAATAGAAAAATGGCTGTCTGCCAGGGAAAGATCCAGAGGGGCCTGAACAGGTGGGGAAGCCAGTGGACAAAACAACAGGTGAAAAGGCAGAGCAACCAAAACAAGAGACATACCTGTTTCTCTTTACCCTACAGGTGCAAGCTACCTGGTGAGGCCATAGCAAAATCCTTTACCTGGTGAGGAGCCCCGCAGTTGGGGGCAGAAGGGGAGAGGCACCCACCCTCAAGCCACTGATTCCCTTTTTGGTGGATGTTTCAATCCACTGAGTGTTGAGAGAAAAAAGGGAGGGCATTTGGAGGGGGCTCACTCTGTTATTTCCCCAGGGGGAAGGGGGATGCACAGCACTGGGCTGAGAAGATTGTGTCTGGACCAAATTAAAGTTCCCCCGTGCAAGTTCTGTGGCCCTTCACACAGCAAATGTCACAGGTGGAGCAATTCCAGGGGTCCCACCTGATGCAGAGATATTGTCCACCCATGTGAGCCGCCCCGAGGCTTTGTTGCGATGGGGCGGCATAGAAATGTTTTAAATAAACAAATACATAAATAAATGTGTTGCTCTAGATGAGTTTTCTTGCAAGAGAGTCAGCATCATCCGCGGCCACTGATATGCTTTGGAGATCCTCTCCAGCCTTGCATGGGGGCCCACAATCCTCCAAGCCTGGGTTCAGGTGCCAGGATTTCAGACCTGCTTGCAGTGAACACCTGGATTCAGTGGAAGCGTCCAATCAAGCACGCAACAGTATTTACAGCAAACAGAAATTCCTAAATTACAACAGCACTGAAGGGTAGCACTCCCAGTCTTAAGGCTATGAGAACAGGACATGGGCTGTTTCATGGAGTTGGACTGTGTACACATGAGAAGGAGGAGAATGAGACGGAACGGGTGAGACGCAAGAACAACATAGAAGCACACAGGGAAAATACAGAAACGTTGAGAAATGCCCCGGGAAAGCATAATGTATCAAGGTCTTGCGTGACAGATAGCAAGATAAAACAATCAGAAGTTACGGAATTTAACAGGTTTCAATGTTTGCTTTTTACAGTGGTAGAAAATTGCAGAAAGACAATGACAGCTGGCCCGTTTGACTATTCAAACGAGCGTTGCATTGTATTGCCTCCCTGCGGGGGTGTGCTCTGCGTCTGCGAGTGATTTGCCAGTGGGTGAATCATTGCATGTCCCAAGGCTCTTGGGCTTGCCTCCTTTTCCCACAGAAATAACCTGAATGGAACCCCCCTCCCCCACCGCAGATTGGAGGGGGTGAAGGGAAACAGGCAAAGCTTTCTATATTCTAAGGTATAAACCTTGTAACTTTTATGAGGGCGATTCCAGCACAGGCCTCCGTGTTGCAAGGTGCCCTAGCAGATTTGAAAAGGCAGAAATGGAAAAACTAGAATGTCTGGGAAGTTGTGCCATCCTGGGCAATGCCACGCGAAGGACTGAAACTGGTTCCCGCATCCCAGCCTGCAAGAAAAGCCCGAGGAAAGCGAATGGTGAGATCCGAAACACATCAGCTCTGCCGTGAGCTCCACCAAGTTCAACAGGACTTACACCCAGAGAGTTGAATCCAAGACTGTTGCTGAAGAATCTCACCAGATGTCGGCACTCCTTCCGTTCCTAATATTCCTTGGGAGGGAAGAAGGACATGATCCCTAAACTGGAACAAAAGAGGCGATGGTGGGATTGACACCATCCTGGTCAGGCCTGCCAATACGCTCCTGTCTTCATTTCCCGGTTTTTAGGCGGGTCAGTTCCAGGCCATCTGCATCGAGAACAGCTCTGATTCGCTCTCCCAAGCAGGTGAAGACCTAAATTCGTGGGAAGGGGAAAGTGTCCTTGTTATGTAATCAACAGGCGACTTGCACATTACGTGACCCCGAAGAACATAACTCAAAGAACGGCGGCAGGATGCGCAGTGCCCGCTTCCCCTTTTTATTTTTCTCTTTTTCCTTTCTAGCACGTGGGGCCAAGGCCTACAAGTAAAGTTGAGCTCACGATCATGCCTGGAAGAAAGGAGTGGGGGGACAGGCGATTTCCTTCTCCATTGCACCAACTGCAGAGGAAGTGGCGGCACTGGTCTGAGCATGGTGCAGAAGCTCCAGTCGCTCGGCGTCCGTCTTGGTATGTGCTGGGCTTTTCTTGTCTTTCCTGTTCTTTGGTCTCTAGCATGTCACTTCCTTTTTAATGTTTTAAAAAGGCTCCCCTGCTCTTCTGTGCTCCTTAGCCAGAACTGCTGCTTGGGGGTGAGGAGATCGGAAGATTAAAAAGAAGGAGGCAGAGAGAAGAGGTTGGAGACGGTGGGATTTTGTTCCTAGGATCTGGTACCTTGATGCACAATGGTTGTGCACCTCTGTGTATGAGACCCTGGGAGAGAATTTGTGGCATCTCCGTGTCCTGTCAGTGAACCCCGGAGATATCTAGCTGGCCACTGCTGTAGGGAAAAGGCAGCGCTTGAGGGATGGAGGGATGGTTGACCTGGCCTTGCGCATCACTTCTTGCAAGCATGGATGGAGCCCTTGCTTGGCTCACGCAGGTAGCAAACGGAAGGTGCCCCAGCTTATTGCTTTCTGTTGAAACTGACAAGACCAGAAAATGCTTGCATCTCACTGAGGAATTCTGAAGGAAATTGTTGCGTGCCAAATTGTTGAATTTAAAGTCATATGCTTTTAAAAAATTCTTAAATTTGACAGCATTCAAAATGTGCAGTGTTGGGACTGGCAGTCAGATGGACAGCATAACAGTATTATTCTGGAATGTTAACCCCTAAGAAATCAAGGGAGGAAAAATATCTTGGGAAGTCTTGTCCCCAAAATATGAGTTGCAGAATTATGACAGATTCCTTTCTGAAAACCCAAGAGAGGAAGAGTTTAAGGGCCCTTCACTTGGCAGCTTTGCCCTAAACCCCTTACATTCATTCATTCAACACTTCACACCAAAAGCGTAGGTTGTTGTTAAACCATCATTTACTTGTGGTGTTGTATGATTCTTGATGTAGCAAGAAACCATATCTAGTTAAGTATGATCAATCCACAGTTCATGACCAAACAAGGGCTCTCTCTGAGGGCTGTTCATAGGTAACAATCCATGGTTTGCTAGCACAGCTGGGTTCACACAACATAATGACCTACAATTCAATGGCAATCCATGGTTCAACGACAACCCAACCCAACCCAAGCCAATGCTTTCCATGTTGTGTGAACCCAGCCAAAGTCTATAACCTGAGATGCTCTCGGGGGCCTTGGGCATGGAACTCTCTTTCCCGCATCCTCTGACCTGGTCCTCTTCGAAGGGTGCCAAGTGTGCCGATGCCTCCGCCCCACTCAAGAGCTTCCGAGGAGGTCCTCCTGCATGGACCACCACCCCTCGGGGCTTACCTGCTTCCTGTGTGATTTCCTGTCCAGCCCTGGTGCCAGCTCTCCTTCTCCTGTCCGTGACGCATGCGGCTTCCCAGAGCAGCCTCTGCCAGAAGTGCCCCTCAGGCTCCGATCCGCTGCACAACATGAAGCTGCAGATCATGCACCTGAAGAGGGATGCTCAGGCGCTGTACAAGTCCTACGTAAGTAACCATGGATTGCCTCTGGCGGACTGGCACTGGTAACGGGCTGGCTGGGCTGGGGTGGCCTCAAGGCTCTGCCTGCTGCCTCTGCCTCCCACAACCGGGGGCCCACCAGATGTTCTGGGATCACAATAACAGACAACTCTCATGTTTTAAAGCTTGATATGATATCTATAAGAATGCTGTAGTTTATGGTTTAAATCACTGCCAACTGTTCAGAGAGCTTTGGATGCAGAATTGCAATCAATAAATCTCCTGCTATTTCTAACCTTTGACCCTGCTGACTGGGGCTGATGGGAACTGACATTCCAAATAGTTCCCTCTTCTAAAATACTCACAAACACAATAATATGAGGGGTGTTCAATAAGCTTCTGCACTTTTTAAAACTCTATTAAGAATTTTAAAAACAAATTATATCACTTTTCTGCATAGTCACCTTCCTTTGCGATGCATTTTTCTAGCATCGTACCAACTTTTTAATGCCATCAGCAAAAAATATATAAAATATAAATGTGCAGAAACTTTTTGAAGACCCCTCATACAATTCAAGCTCCTTGTGTATTCATTTAGTGATGTGTTTTTTGGTGCTTCCAAAAATAAAAGCCAATCTGTGTGGTGGGGGGGGAGAGGGAGGGCGGGCGAGAGAGTGCCCATTGCAACTTTGCCACGGGGGTCGGAGGAGACCGGCTTCATGGCTTCGTTGTCCCAAGGACCAAGCCAACCAGGACAGGTGCAGCCAGCCCGAGGGTGACCGCAGAACCAGATGTGCAGCCCAGAATTGCACATCTGGCCCCCAGAGCACATCTGGCTCATCTCCCCAGCCCAAGGAAGGGATGCCTGGCAGACGCTTAGCAAAGCCGAACTGTCGCTCGTCCAGGCAGAGGAGCTGGACTGGCACGGGAGGCGAGGCGAGGCAGGGCAGGTGCTGCCCTGCAGTAGGAAGCAGCCCTCCAGTGATGCATTTCCTGCGGCACATCCTGTTTGCCCGCTGCTGCGGCTGTTCCCAGAGACGCCGGGGCAGAGTCACCCCTTTCACTTCGCTTTTTCTGCTGTGGGTTTGGCCCTGCATCCCTTCTGAATACCTTTAGGACGCGCCACAAACTCACGCCTCCCCTCTTTGCTCCTGTTATCCAGTTGTCCCACAATGGTTTGCTGAGGCTTCCCCGCGAAATCTGCAGAGGGCGGCCAGAGTCCTGGTTCCCAAGCAGAACTGTAAGTCGGAAAAGAGTGACCACGATGCTGACGGGACTGCACGAGATGCTGCGGTATGTGAAGGAGGCACTGGCACACCTCTGGCGACAGCAGAGCGAGCTGCAGAGTCGAGGAGCCGAGCTGCTCGGCAGACTGAACAAAACTTCCGTGTCAGTGTTGGGACTTCTGTATAACACCCAGTGTGCCCTGTGCCTACGGGGCCTCGCTCCCGGCAACACGTCTCTCCCGGAGAGAACTGCAGGCACTTCAGTGTTCTCTCAAAAGATTGAAGGGTGCCGCACACTCTGGAGTTACTCCAGCATCATTAGGAAGTTGGCCAGGGCCTTTGAAAAGGAGAAAGGAAGGCAAGCAGATGGAGAGACGGGGAGGGTGCGTGGCCACTCCTTGACTGACTGTAAGGGACACTGAGTCATGGCTGTGAGCAGCACTGTGCACAAGGCCCCCGCAGATGAGCGGTGGTCCTCGGCGCAACATGCGCATCGAGCAAGTGCAGCCTCGATGCAGAGGTGCTACCTCTCCAAGGGATGACTCGAGTAAGTGAGCCAAGCTGCATGCAGTGGTGGAATGTAACAGAATCCTGCGGTAGTGCTCCATGTTTGCAGGAATGGCTGGAACCGTGAGAGTGCAGTCGGCTGGGGACCAGCACCCAGTGCTGGCTTCTGACCCCTTCCTGCAAGTCGATCAGCCTGCAAGCATGGCCCAGAGGGTGAGAGCCAAAGGGCCACTCGGGTGGCTGCCATGCAGCTGTCCTAAAGAACTGTGCAGGCTCTGAAAGCAGACCCTCGCCGGGGGATTCCGTCCCAGTAAAGCGCCTGCAATAGGTGCCTGGGAGGAGGAGGAGGAGGATGCGGGCCTCCGGAAGAGAGCCAGTCAAGGGAGGGACATGTGGCCTAGGCAGCGAAGGGCTTTGCCCAGCCAGTTGGCTGGCTGCCCTGCCTGGGGAATGTTGCTCAGACCTGTGGATCCTCCAGCAGGGTCTTGTCCCAGGCCGTTTAACATCTGCATGCACCTGTTGCGTGGGGTCACCTGGAGCTCTGGAGTGCGCAGCCATCAATGCGCCCTTGCCATCACCCCCAGGTCAGGTTGTGGATGAGCTGAGCCCGTGCCTGCTGTGACAAAGGATGAGACAAGGGTCAACAAGCCAAAGCCCAGCCCAGACGAGACCGAGGTGCCTGGGGTGGGGGTGGGGGTTCTTCTGACCAGCTGGTGGGTGCTCAGCCTGTTCTGGGCACAGCTGGGCTCCCCGGAGCAGGCTTGGTCCCTCGGGTTCTCCTGGATCCGTTCTTGGCTGGGAGTGCGCCCTACCAGCTTTGGCTGGTGGCCCAGCGGTGCCCCTGCCTGGACAGAGAGAGGCTGGTTTCAGTCTTCTGTGCTTTGGTAAGCTCTGACTCAGATGGCTGCACTTCACTCTATGTGGGGCTGCCCTTGAAGACAGTTCAGAAGCTGCAGCTTGTGCAAAATGCAGCAGCCAAGTTAATATCTGGGAGTAGAAAGTCCAGACATATAAGGCTAGTTCTGGCCCACCTGCACTGGCTGCCTTATTCTTCCAACCCAATTTAAGATGCTGCTTTTAATCTAAAAAGCCCGACGTGCCTTGGGACTGCAATACCTGACAGAATGCCTCTCCCAGCCTCAGGCTGCCCATACACTACAATCGACATCTGAGGCTTTCCTTCAAGGAGAAGGGCCTTCTCAGTGGCAGCCCCGCACTTTGGAAACTATCTGCCCATGGAGGCCCACCTGGTGCCAAAAGTGCCATCTTTGTGGCACCCATTTAGGGCTGCCCTCTAGGATTTCTCAGTTGTCTTAACAAGTCTAGTTTTTATTGGAATTATTTTAGTCATTTAACCTGTTTTAGATTTTGTATTTTGGAATTTTACACTGTATTTTATTCTATTTTTATTATATCTATTTTTATTATTGTATTCCTGCACATGAATTGCTGTAGACTGCCCAGAAAGATTTGCCTTCTGGGTGGTATAGAAATAATAACAATAATAATGTTTGGAAAGGTACCTGTGGAAGGGAATGACATGGGCAAGAACGATCCCTTTCTGCAGTGATGCCATCGAGCTCTTCCACTAACCCAAAAGGGCGTTTGGCATTTGGGAATGGATTAAGTCACTAAATTATTATTAAACCTTATTATTAAACTTATAGCCTGCTATATTAGTCCAGGGTTCTCTAAGCAGATTGCAACAGGTTAAATGGGGCCGGGGTGAGAGTTTTAGCAGCCCGTTATGGCTGGCGATGCAGCGAGCCACGCGGAACAGACCTCTGTAGGGGTTACTGCAGGCCAGCCAGAGATGGCTTGGAAACGCACCCTGATGATCTCCCTGTGAGTCAAGAGCGACTGATCCTGCCTCACTAAGCAGTCGCAGCAGCAGCAGCGATTGGCAGCACGGCGGCTGCATGTGATTTTGACAGGGGCAGCACTTCCCCAAGCATTTGGCCGAGGTTGCTCACGGACCTAATATTTATCTGTGCCCCTTCACTCAAGATCTGGCTTTCCCGTGGGAGTGAATGGAAGCCATTCATTTCTGTGAAGGAAGGAGAAGGACCAATTCGAGGATGGAGCTCTTTTTGCTCCAAAAATCAGGTGGGGGGGTGGGAGGGGGTTGGGGGACCTCTCTGGTCAATTTTGCACTTTTCCCAATGGCACAACCAACCAGCCGTGCTTCATCTGCACACTTCCCCCTGCGTCCCGGGCGAGGCGTTGCACCCCATTTATCGACAGCTGCAGGGAACTCGCTCGCCTCCTGTCTGCTGGAAAGAACAGAAATGAGAACTTCTTAACGAAGGACTTGCTCGCGCTCTTTCCCCCACATCTCTCCGAGCTGTTTCCCCTTTTATATTGTGCCTTTCGGAGGAGTAGCCCAAGGACAGAAACTGTCCGACTGCTGCATTCTGTGAGCTGTGTGGGGAACATTTTTCACCTGAAATGGATGGGGTGGTGAGCTAAAATGGTTTAATCCATTTCTGACCTATCTGCCTGGCCAGGGCACTGCCACCCCTGAGCCAGACCCATTTCCTGTGCCCACGGATCAGTCTCCCAGAGCACGGAGTCCCAGTTGGCTCCGGCAGGAAGTGTTCTGGGCTTGCTTTATTTTATTGCTTGACTCAAGAGGCTGAGAAATCGGGATTCTAGTCCCAGTGCAGCCATGGAGCTCACTGGGGAACTTTGGGCCAATCACAGACTCTGTGTCCAGCCTGCCTCACAAGCTCGTTGTTGCAAGGCTGTGCAAGCTGCCCTGGGGTCCTCGCAAGAGTTAAAAAGGCGAGATTTAAATGCTTTAAATAATAAATTGCCATGCAGGGGACACTTTTCAAGGGGGACTCCAGTTGGGAAGGAAACAGGGGTGCTGTCCTCCACTTTTCAAAAACTTCTCACACAGTGAACTTTAGGAAGACGGGGTGCTTTTCCATTGCTTTGGGATGATCCAGGATGCAGTGCAAGTCCATTGAGGTTGTTTGGAAGAGAAATGGATCGGCCACCTTTGCCTCTGATGAATCAGGAGACCCTGATAGCAGCCATGGACACGTGCAAACTGATATCCTACGGACCCCTGACCTGAATTACCTGTCAGCTGCTCTGCCCAGCAGGGATATTCCTGGCTTCACTGGAGTTGACTTTTAACCGTGGGGCAGAGTTGGGTATGATGTGCTTCGATCGGCATGCATGTTCCCGGCCTGGGGAAAGGGGATCGAGCCTCAAGCATTGCTGGAGCTGCCTCGCCGCAGGGGGTTTATTCCAAATGGCATTCCAATGCCAGAGGAAGAAGCCCTTTTGGTGCTCCTACCAGAGAAGAATCCCCCATGCACTCTTTTTTCCTCATTAATTTGTATTAATTTAGTTATTAGCTTGATATCCTGCCTTTTAACTTCTTATAAGAACTCAAAGTGACTTACATCATTCTCCTCCTGCTCTCAATCTCATCCTCATGACAACAACCCTGTGAAGTGGGCTGGGCTGAGAGTCTGTGACCAGCCCAGAGTCACCCAGTTGGCTCCATGGCTGAGCGGGGACTCGAACCCGGATCGCCGGAGTCCCAGTCCCAGCTCTTAACCACTGCACCACACTGGCTCTCATACACCACACTGGTTCTCTGGATTGCCTGAGTCCCAGTCCTGCCCTCTTCACTACCACACCACACTGGCTCTCTGTTTTTATTGTGGAGTTTGATCAATCCAAGCAAAAACAAAATCAGAAAATAATAAAACAAACAAGACTAAAGCAAATCTGCCAGTTCCCCAGAAACTCCTGCGGACGGGCTACAAACTGTCCAGCAATCCACCGGGAGATGTGGGTTGACTTTCTGCCCAGGGGTGGCTCTGCCCGGGGTTTTTGAGGACTTTGGAATACCCCTCCGCAGGCTCTGCCCTTGGCGGGGCTACCCTTCCACTGCCGCAGGCTCCAGCTTGTCCGCTGCCTCCTCCTCACTGTTTCCCTCAGAGGGCCAGGGCAAGCCAGCCCCTGCTCTGGGGTCACTGTGGGTCACGAGCTCAATATGAGCCAACAACGTGATGCAGCTGCAAAAAGGGCAAATGCTATTTTGGGCTGCATTAACAGATGCATCACTTCCTAAACACACAAAGCACTAGTTCCTCTAGTTGCACCACGAGTCCGAACTCACCTGGAGTCCTGTGCCCAGTTCTGGGCACCTCAGTTTCAAAAAGATGCAGAGAGGCTGGAAAGGGTGCAGAGAAGAGCAGCAAGGGTGAATCAGGGGCTGGAGGCAAAGCCCTGTGAGGAGAGATGGAAAGAACATTTAGCCTCAAGGAGAGAAGACTGAGGGGAGATGGGATGGCCCTCTGCAAGGACTTGAAAGACTGTCCCAAAGAGGGAGGCCAGGATCTCTTCTCGATCATCCCAGGGTGCAGGACACGGAATAATGGGCTCACGTTCCAGGAAGCCAGATTCCAGCTCGCTACCAGGAAAACTTTCCTGACAGTTAGAGCAGTAGACAATGGAACCAATTAGCAAGGGAAGCTGTGGGTGCTCCCACACTAGAGGCATTCAAGATGCAACTGGACAGCCACCTGAGAGAGTCGGTGTAACTGGGAGTCCTGCTCTGAGCAGGGGGTTGGACCTGATAGCCCTCTGCCCTTCCAGCTCTGCTATCTATGAATCTATCATTCTCCCCCAAGCACCATGGTCTGTGCCACAACAAGAAGCAAGTGAACAAGTGTGCAGCCATGAAGAAAAGGAAGCTCAGCCAGGAATGATGGGATTGCAGTCCAACACCTCTGGAGGGCACAGAGCGGAGGAAGGCTGCTGGAGAGAAGGGAATGATCCTGTGGCCCCTGAACATTGACTGAGGAGCCACAGGAAAGTTTGGATTCTCTCCGAGGTGGGACACTGTGCTCCAGCTTTCACCCAGTTGCTCTCCAAGGTCAGGAAAGCAACC